TTATTATTATTATTATTATTTTAACTTGACAAGGGCCGATGACAAGCATTTCTTCAGGAGTGTCATTGTGTCTACATGACATTTACCTTCCCAGGTAAGCAGTCAGTGCCATCYGCCCACGGCATGTGCTGCGTCCTGCAACCCCTCTGGGCTCCCTCTGGACTGGTGCACCACAGCCTCCGACACTGAGTCTAAGAATCACAAAYATAATCGGTGTTAAAGCTGGGATTCCACATTCATAATCTGCATAGTTGAGCAGTTTTATTTATTTCACATTATGAAATGTTAACTCTAAAGATGAGTGAGTAAACTGCACCAGTCAGATGTTTCTGGCCTGCAAAGCTTTTCACTTTAAACTAAAAAGAAGTCGTGTTGGACTGATTTTGTGAGATTTCTTGTTTACAAAGTTCTCATTTGAMGTTTCACAGACTAATACTGAATATTTTATTCAAGAGAGCATCATGGTGCTTTCACATAAAGAAAATGACTTCAATTAGCTGACGACCTCAGCAGCACTCGGTCCAACCTCCTGACCCCAACAGCATGAATCCTTCCCGCTGCCTCCACTCACCATATAAGGGCACACCTGTGTTCCAGGCCCAAATATCAACTCGCACTGTTTATTGACACTGTATATCCGGCCGGGCAGCTGCTGCGACAGACTGTACGGCCTAGAAACGGGCTCGTCCAGCAAGCACTCGCCGTATCCTGTGCTATTAAGAAATAAAAATGAAATGACTTAAAGGGGGAAAAAAGGGGGAGAAAAAAAACAAGAGACACAAACAGACAGAAAACACACTCAGTACAGCTGGAGTCATTTTCTGTAAGTATACAGAACAAACGACTTAGGAGGATTTTATAATAGTTTTCTCTAAATTTGGATTTTTGCTGTTTCAAAAAATAAAAATAAAACACTACCACTACATAGACAGATAGCTTGTAAGTTTATTTTATAGTATTTAAATAAATGTATTTGAAATATCATTACACCACATATGCGGCATTGATTTGTCCGTTTCTTTTYCTTTATATTCTGCATCTGTAACGTTAATGAAGTTAACAGTACGACCTACTCCAGAAACTCTGTGATGTACTTCCTGCTACATTTGGACCACATCCAGGGGTTTGTGTTGTAATTAAGCGTGGGAGCCATCACGTGTTGCTGGATCTTAACGCCATCGTCCTTACACTTGTTACTGTCATCATGAGGCATGTTGAACCTGAGAAAATAAAAAAAAAGATTTAAGTGTATGGAAAAACTGTWTTACAAAATTTATTGTAGTTTTAAACTACAAAAAACTAAACTTTATAGAGTTTTCCTGCTTCTGGGTGGATTTAAAATTTTATTATATGTGTTTTTCACGCCAACATATGCAAATAACCTTTTCGCATTTATTGAACATGATTTATTTCAAGTATTTATTTTTTGTTTTTGTGTCTCTTGAATGTTGGGAAAGAAACCAACATAATTAAGGTGTGTAAGAGGATAAGGAAAAAAAATAATTAGATAATTAAATCAAAAAGGAGTGCCAATTTTGTTTTTGGCTGAAACTCAAACACTCATCAACTTTCTCCTAAAACATTTCAATAACTTTACTTTTATAATAACCTAAGCTGATGTAGCAACATTATAAAAAGTGTTAGGAAATACAGGATCAAAAGAAATGTTTGAGCTGCTGCTGGTGGCTCATTAGGTAACAAAACACCTGTCTTTCACTCAATGATAGCACTCCTAACAAGACTGACGAACAGGAAAACAGAGAAATGAAGCCTCAAACTAAAATATTTAAGTTGTTTTGAGAAATAGGAAATCTTAAACTGTATTTTAGAGAAAATTACATTTTTTTGCWTGTCTACAATATTTTATTTAGAAAATATGACAAGTAAACTAAAACTAAAACTTCGTATTTTGAGCTCAGATACAAAATAAGTCAATACAATTTTTGATGTGTGCACTCTGAAATCTGTTGAGATTTGCAGCTGTGAGAGACGCTGCGTAAAAGAAGACAAAAATGCTAACATTTTAATGTTTAAACTGATCCTTTTAACAGGTAAAAAGTGTCAAATTTGTGGAAATAGGAAGCGATTTTACAAACGATTAAACAACTTAAAAGCTATTCTGACAACATTACACTAGCTTGTGATAAATTCTTTGAAAAAGTCACAAAACTGCATCAAGTAAAACCTGGTAAACATATATTTCTGTAACTTATTTAAACTTTGAATGATGTTTTCTTGTTGTCAAACTCAGTTTGCCAAATTTCAATTGCTTTTTTTCTTATGTCAAACGCTGCACTGCTACCAAATATCACATCACKTTGTTCTTGACCGAGCTGCACATATTGCTGTGTATTTTGTATGAATCTTTACAAGACTTAGAGAGGGGTAGCAAATCAATACTTTTGATGGRAATAGGAGATTAACAGAGGAGTAATAATAAGCGTGCTTCTCTGCTGAAGCATTAGCACCTTTAATAAGGGACAGATTAAAGTTTGTGCATAAAAGGCWAAATGTACTCCCTGCTGCTGGTGCACGGCTGCAGCAACACGCCGCCTGCTGCTAAGCTGTTCACCTTTTCAGGGACCAAGTCACAGCCTGTAACTGTCTCCGCTGTAGAAAACTAACAGCTCCAGTTCAGGGTGACTCAGGGCTTCAGACATTCCAGAGTTTGAAATAAACCAAGAGAAAAGCAAGTGGTGGTTTTATTTAAACTMTGAGTAACAATCCAATTTACAGTCTCTGTCTCAAAATGAAACACCGACTTGTTTGGGGAGTCAGAAGGTACACAAAAGCATTAAAAAAAACTGAGAAAGCAAAAATAAATCCACGTGTTACCCAATTCTCTCTCTCTCTCTTTATTTCGTTTTAGTTTCCATGTGTGAATTCAAAGGAAAAATCTACGATCGTCTAACAGAGGCCAAAAYCTTTTCATGTTTGGAGCAACCTGATGTAAACTCTGAGCCGAAACACGATCGATGCACTCACACGTGGCCGAGTTCGTGGGCAATAGTAAASGCCGTGCTGAGCCCGTTGTCCTCACTGATGCTGCAGCTTCTGTACGGGTCGCACACCGTACCCAACTCTGCAAGTCCTGCGCAACACAAAACTCATGATCCTAACATCACAGCAAGCACTGCTCAACCCATTATTAGAAAAACTGCTCACCTAAGGTGTCGCACTTATCCCTCGCTCTGCAGATGTCTTGCCTGCAGGGAAGATGAAGAAAACACATCAGGTCAGAGGCAAACACGTAAACTTTAAACCCATCTCTTTGATCCGACTCTTTTTTTAATGCACTTATCCTCTTGTTTATTGGACAGTTCTGATCTTTCAGAGACTTAAAAGTGTGTTCAAAGTGAGAAGGAATCTGGATCGTTCCCATGCACCTGGTGATAAGGATGGCCGTGTCGTGATGGGAGTGGTGGTTATCATCCAAGAYGTTCTGACTTTGCTGCCAGATGCAGAAGTTCTTTAAAGTGGTCTGTGCATTAAAGGAGATGACCGGACCATCCTGAGAAACGGGTCAAAACAGACAAAAGTWAGGGTCCCCAATGTAGAAAACTATCACTCTGAAATGTGTTGGAGAGGGAAATGCTCAAACTAATGATAAATGCAACAAAACTTACCAGCTCATTGTTTATTATCACTAGCTTAACGATCACGATGTTAATCAGGTTGCCTATGCTGGGATCCTTGTAGATGGAAGAAACCTGTAGAATAAAAAAAAAAACAACTTAAAATCTCTGCATTTCATTTGAACACGAGGCTGATTTTAATGACACATTAATAAATCTGTATTTAATAAGCAACCATACAACAACTGCAAAACAGTTGGGTCATTGTGAAAAATGCATTTCAGTATGTTTTGCCATGTGTAAAATAGTGTTAAAAATGTCATTAACACATTTTCATTGTCTTCACTTTCTGAGTGGAAAATCCTCGTTTAAAAAATCCTCAAACATTTTATTGTTACTTAGCTCACTGTTCTTACATTTCGCTAATGTTTAGTAAATGTTGCATTTTAATGTTAAATAATATACGTAAATATTGCATCCTAAATATAAATGTGTAAATCTAAATGTGAATATTAAATTTTAAATTTTGAGGTTAAATAACAAAGCTTACATAGTCTGAAGTGCAGCTCAGACACTGGCTGTAACTGCGAGTTTGATGTCTTGTAGGGAAGCGCAGCATCAACAACATTGCCAGTTTTTAAACAGCATTAGCAGCGTCAACAGTGTTAGCAGTTTCAAAACAGTGTTAGCAGCGTTAGCAGCATCAACAGCATTAGAAGCATCAATATTGTTCACAGCGTAACCAGCGTCAACACCATTTGCAAGAGTCAACAGCGTTAGTAGCGTTAGCAGCGTTAGCAGCGTTAGCGGTTGATAATGTTGCAGGATGATGACATCATGACAAATGGCACGCACCACGATGCACAAAACGCAAAGGCTGTGTTCTTTAACATTTAGCCATAACATTTGAGTTTCAACTTTTACACTTAGATTTACACATTTAGATTTAGAATTTAACATTGAGACATAACATTTAATTCAAACATTTAGTAAAAAATTGTAAATTGTAAGAACGGTGAGCAAAATAACAGTAGAATATTAGTGGAAATTTTTGGAACTATGATTTTACACTCAAAGTGAGCTAAATAATGACTTACATTGCATTACAGTTTATATTACACTGGGTGCCCCATGTTTCAGAATACACTGTTTTGTAAATCTCATAAACCCATATTTTATTTAGGATTAACAGAGTAAATATAGCAAATGTTGAAACTAAGTAATTGCATCATTTTGTAGAAAAAAAGGTAAATGTGAATTAGTCTATACCACCAATATGAAATCTCTTAGTTTAAAAATTTAATATGTTTATTAAGTTTAAATGTGAATAAAATCTGTTTATGAGATTTGTTTATATTTAAATTTGACACAATTTTCCAAACTTTTCAGAAATGGGGTTGTACTTAGGGTTAGCTCTCTGCCTGCAGATTCAAAAGACATTWAAAAAACAGCCAGAGTCACTGAGAAAAAAGGCTTTGCCAAGAACAAAAATACAGGTCATTCTAACCTCCCCCTGAAGACCTCTAGGCCAAGAAGCCAGCGGAAGCTGCTGTTTGAAGTGGCTGGGAGGAAGTGGTCTTTGCGACATACCTGAGCTAATTTTTTTCCAAATTGATCAAAGCCCTCAGACATATTCTCCCTCCAGTTTTCCTCTTTTGCACCCTCCTTTTTTTTTAAAGAGCTGTTTACCCCTGCCCTTAGCTGGCCTTTTCCCTAACCCAAGCCCCCTTCAAAGGCTCACTGACTGACCTGCAGCACAAACAGGTCCACACAGTACGCACCAAACCTCACACAACTCCTTTCACCACAGCCAAACTCACTATGGACATTAACGTGAGGATGTAGTGCTGCAGGTTGCTGCCGTGATGCTCCACCATTTTGCTGTCGGCGACCAGCATGACTTCAACAAAGCGCGGGTAGGAGAGGAAGCGCTTTGATCTCCTGTGAGGTCCTGAGTCCCCACTGCTATCATTTGACGGTCTAGTGCTGGCAATGCCCCGCTCTGATTCGAGCAGAGYGTCAGCAGCCAGGCTGAGGCTCAGAGACTCCAGGTCGTTGAGGAAACCGGTGCCCACTTCGGGTTTGGAGACAGCGGTGGCTCCGGCGGCTGCTGCTCTCTTCGGCTTGTTGCTCTTCTGTCTGTGTTTGTGCCCTAAAGTGAGAAACCAGAGGGGAATAAGGGCACGCACAAATAAATACACACTCAGAAAAAAGAAAAAGAAAAGACAAAGGTCTAAATTATTGTTTGCCAAAAGGATGTGGTTTCAATGAAGCAACATTTATGGCTTTAACACTGCAGATCCTAGCTGTGAGTTGGCTTTATATTGCTGCCTCTTTTTGTTATGTTTATCGCTGCTCAGAGATTGTGTTGACAGATGAATACTGACTGAAGTACCATTTTTTCCCCTTCTCCCTTCACTTTGAAACCAGAAGAGGAAGAAAAGGGCAACGAGTTCAGGCTATGTGAGCCTGCAGCACAGCCATAAAAACAACAACAAAAAGAAGTAAACTGCTGTGKATGTACACTGATTAGACTGCTCTGTTAAATGTTTTAACTGTGACCTACTGAGGAAATAAAACTATTCATAAAGCATAAAACCTCACAACAGATACCACTTATCCTCCATTCTCTTCACTAACACAACTGATTTACAGATACTGTATATRATCAAGTTTTATGGATAAAACAGGCTGCTGCATTGATCCTTTTAATATAAAATKATTTCCAGTATTTTCATTTATTTGTTGCAGTGGACGCTGACTGAAAAACCACCAGCGACGTTCTCTGGTTTGTAACAACACTAAAAACAATCTTTTAAAAATAACAGAAAAAATCATCTTGTGGTTCATGAGATATTCTGCCTACAGATGGACAAATTAACACACACACAAATCAACACACAGACACGGGCATTTCCTTTATTGCCCACCAAGACAGGAGACGGGCAACAAAAAATAAAATAAAAATTTATCTCAAGCAAGTTTCGAAAGCTTCTGATGCGTTTGAAAAGACATATATTGTATAATCATCATCACGAAGAATCATAATCTTATCTTTTATTCTCTATCAGTTGCAGCTGTAATAACTGCAATTTCCCTCAGGGATCAATGAAGTACTCTGATTCTGATCATCACTAAACAATGCATTACTCTAGGTCAGGGGTGCCCAAACATTTTCCCCGAGGGGACCAAAATGAAAATCTATCCATGGCTGTGGGCCAAATGCAGTAATATAATACATGAAATAMAWAYAMWTWYTTWAAGTAAAGTMMTTTATTTTTAACAATTAAGCTATGCAATGGCCSTCTTTTGTTTTAGTCTGTGCACTTGGAGAAAGTCTGCCATACGCTCAAGTAGCAAAGGCTCATGGGACATTTCATAAATTGATAAAATATGAGTTTTTGTGGCCTTATAAAGTGTGCAAATCTACATGCGGGGTTAAATYTGATCTAAATATTTCTTGTTGTCGTTTCATGTTTCATGTTTAATCCCAATAAATCAAAGATGTCAGCACCATGACTGAAAACTACCTTCACTACAGCCCTTTTATATAGTCATTTGACCAATGGGAATAGTGTGTTTCTACCTATAGGATAACAGGTTACAACCTAGTTACTTTGGCAACTGTTGGTGGGCCAAATCAAATRGCTTGGCGGGCCAAATCTGGCCCTCGGGCCCCACTTTGGACTCCTCTGCTCTAGGTTCTTGTTAACTTGTTCACTGTTGCTTGCTGGTGCTGCACTTTTTAAATCACACTGACTGAAAATTTGGCCAATTTGGCAGAACTAAGAGGAAGTTTCTCTTTTACCAGCGTCTTCCTTAAAGGGTCACAGGGTCACTGGTGCCCATATATGCTGCATTTCTTTATTTCCACTAAAAACTACCAGAAAACTCAACTGCATTTATAAAAAAAATAAATAAATATCTAAAAAAAACATTCAACTTGCATAAAATGCATAAGTGTTTTTTTAAATAAAGGGAAGGTTTGAATGCTTTATAACTACAAAAGCTTTTTTTTGTCAGCTGTTTTTTCCTCGAGGTTATGTTTTGTAGAATGAACACACAAACACTTCCACACACAGTGACACCAAACATCTGCGCAACAATCTCCGTCGAACAAAGAAAAGGAAACATTCAGCATTTATTTGACTTGGTTTTGATTATTTGACTGTTTTAAGTTGGCATTACTTCTCCGATATACAGTTTACTCAACACGCTCGTCGCAGTGGGTCCGCTCGGGCTGCTTATCAAAGAAACAGAGGAAGTACAAGAGTCAACAGGAAGTTCAGCCAGTAAACTGAGATGGGAGATACAAGGGTGAACTTCCAAATGATTTTTTTTTTTCCTGTGTGAGAGCGGAGAAGCTTCCTCGCTGCGGTGACGAAGGCAGCAGGAACTGCGACGTGCAGAAAYATATTTTTACGCCGTACTTTCACTTTAATTCATTCATTGCGCTCCAGGTTATAGTCAGGTCCCAAACATGAGCCCACTTAATTTGGTTCTTTTTTTATCGAGTGTGATCATTAATAAGCACAGTTTTTTAAAGAAGTTTTTCAAAGTTTTTTTTCTATTGCATAATCAGCTCCTGCAACAACTGAGAGTGGAGTCTGGTTTACACCTGAGCATGTCCATGGGAACCAGAGTAATGGTTGTATGCACTTACACACACACACACACACACACACACACACACACACACATACATATGGAAAGATTCTCCAACTCACAAAACCACGCACTTCCTTCCATGCACATAAAAAACAACCACATGCACACACTGTTTTGAAGCCCAGCCACTGGGAGGTCCCTGCCCCGCGGCAGCATCACTAACAGGGTGAAGGGTGACTGGAGCAGATATTTAGGTCAGCTGGCGAACAGTGAAACCAGCTGTAGTCACAGAGCAGCACACGTGTGTTGCTTCGTGGGTTTGTGTGTCGTCTTGTGAACAAATGAAAAAAAAGAAAACTGCACGCATGTATACTCATCTCGGACCATGCCACACCTGAAGTGTCACAAGYTGGAGTTTCTTCAGACGTCTGATTCTTGGGTGCACGTTTCCTGTACACGATATGAGGTTTKGTGTGTTCTTCCTCGTAGCGTTCCCCTTCGTAGCTGTGCAGGGGCTCCACAAAATACTCCCCATCTGGAGACCTGAAAGTGCCGAGCTGGACAGCAGGGATAAAAACAATGCAGAACAGTTAGTCTTGTTCCTGTAAATATGTCTCAACTTCAGCGGGATAAAAGAAGGCTTGACAGGAACCCAAAATAGTTTTTGATATGAGCGACAGGAGTTTTACAGATCTAACGTCATTTATTTGTTGAGGGAAACGCAAACCACTTTTAAGAAAAGACTGGCAGTTTTCAAAATGGCAGCAAAACTTACATTTACAGTTTGTTGCTTTATTTACGTCTTTATTTGACAGAAATGGGAACAAAGGAAGCAACTTTAAAGTGTCTTTATTGAGTAACGCCATGATGTTTACAAGACATAAACAAATGCGGGCTTTAACTCCAGCAACACACTCAAACAAAGATGAGAGTGTGTGACTTCACCCTTCTTTTGATTTGCGTCAGTGGTTTTCAACTACTGGTCTGTGGACCTCTGCCAGCCCACGTCAGGGCCTTGTCTGGTCTGCAGGGGGCGGAGTTTGTTTGATGAGTGCTCACAATTATTAAAGCTTCAGGTTAATTTATKTGACACACTTTCCTTCTTTGGCCATAAAGAAAAGGTTTACCTTTCTACAAACATTTTCCACCATTGTTTTTATTCTTTATTTAACATTTATTTAACCAGAAACGTTACATTATATTTGTTTTTTATGTCTATGAGGTCCCACTAATCCTAAATTAGAGATAATTAAAAATGCCCACCAAACAAAAGTTCAGGACTCAAGAGGTTATAATTAATTTAATTCAATACAAAACCAGCTAATCAGGCCTAAGTTTTTTTGATCTGTTCATTTCTAAACTATCTTCTTTTGCTGTTTTCAAAGAGCAATCTGTGTTTATTCTTGCTGGATACAATGTTTGAGCTGCTCAGCAGTCTGTGGTTGTCGCCTTCTGTGGTGATGTCAAATTTTTAATAAGAGACAGACCTGGGAAGCAGCCAGGCATGTCAATAAAAGACAAACTCTCTGAAAATCTGCTGCAGGAATTTGTGTACACGACAATTTGCAGCATATTACCTAACTGGACTTTATGGGTAAAGACGACACCTTGCTTGTGGTCTCTTACAAACTTTAAATTTACACCTCTAAAYCCTCATAGGATATGATAAAAGTGCATCACTTTTATTTAATTTTGGATTTGAATACCCTCACAAAAATGCCTGCCATTACTGTGCCATAGTTACAATCATTATCACATGTTTCATCTTTTCCACACAGATCCCACTGTTTTCCCCCAAAGCAAAGTCCCCAAAGTCCCTCTGTTCATCTGAGAGGAGCTCAAACCCTGAGAGCTCCCGARTGTTTCTGTGCACAGTTGATATATGGCTTCCTGCATGCATAACACAGTTTCAAGTTACATTTATGGATGGAGCAGGAGACTGTGTTGAATGACAGGGATTTCTTTTAAAGGAACCCCACTCCCATGTGATGGTATTAACAACAATAATGTGATTAGTATGCATGCAGTGCTGCCTAAATGTGTAAAATTCAGCAGTGGTTTTCAGCTTTGGGCTTTACCCAATTYCCTCAGATTAAATTGTATCTATTATGTAGAGAAGCAAGATTCCCATGTGGATTTTTAGCACAAAATGGTAGAAGACTGAACCATTTATGGAATGTGTGCCAACCTTTCTCCAAACATGCTTTGTAGTTTTTGCAAACCTCTGCAGGAGCGGGCTTATTTACAAGTTGTTAGAAGAAATGTATAATCCGGAGATAAACGTGTTCTTGTGAATTTGCATGCATTTACTAGAACACAAGGAAAGGAATCAAAGCAGACCTGGGATGGCTTATCAGGAAAATCCTGAGAACAGTTTTGGCCTCAGAGCCCGTGTAGTTCAGGAGGCACGGTTAAGCGTGCCTCAGAGCTCTGTGATGTTTCAGATAAGCTTCTTGCCAACCCAGCAACWTTTGACTTGTTGCTCCTTTGCTGTGGTCAACCATCAGAGCTGCTCAGGGGGGAAATTTGCTGCATCATCTGAAAACATGGCACTTTGTTACACATGGACATTGTTTTCTGAACAGGGAACAACGGGCATAAAATGATCCTGCTCCCATTTTCTAACAGCAAAAAAAACCTTTTCTCTGTGCGATAAACTAATATTTACAGTATATTTCATCAGATTATTCTAGAATGTTCAGGGGGGAAACGTGAAAGGCAGAGCTTTCTTTCTTTAGACAGATACAGTAACTCTTGTAAATTAGGTAACATAGCCCTCAATTTAGAGATACTTCTCAAATGATGAAAAAAAAATTCTAACCAAATGTCATGAATGGCTGACTGGTCAAAAAAAAAATAAAAAACACGAAGGTTTCTTCAGCTAGACTGGGAAGAGGAGCCCAGAGAACTGAGGTGTTGTTTGATCAAAGGAGCTTCCTGCTCAGCAATGATCAGAGTTTCAGTCTTACTGGAATTTAATTGAAGAGAGTTTTAGCTAGCCATCCTGAATACAAGACATACAATTCAAGACAAGCTCTGAATCACTGAAAGACTACAGTTGGATATCATCAGCATGCAAATTTTTAACATTTTTAAAGCAGCGATAATATTCCCAAGGGGACCAAGTACTGAGCCCTGAGGAACACCATGTAACAGTGGAGAGGGCACATGTTATTTACAAACATGGAAAAGGAGCAAACAGATCTCCTTTTGCAAACAATGTAATAGAGATTTGTGGTTGACTGTGTCAAAAAGCTGAGGACAGATCCAATAAAACCAATACACTGTAATGACCAGAGTCTGCAGCCATCATCATAACTTTTAATAAGGCAGTCTCAGTTTAATGCATCTTACAGAAACCAGACTAAAACGTWTCCAGAAAACTCCAATTCTAATTCTAACAAATTGGCATTTTATACATTTTAAGCATATGTATTGTCTCTATTTAAAATTAAATCGGGTTTGGAATTGGATTAATGATATGGACTTGTTTATATGTATATATTTAGTRCCCTGAGGTGATTTTCTTAAATGATTTTTTGTTTGTTTGAATAATTCATTCAAAACATTCAGAAAAAAAGATTTCACGTCRTCCTCCAATGTGTCCCTTTTATTGTGATTTCTATAAATAAACGGCAGCGTGCACTTTTGATCCCAACAGAGAACTCGTGCAGCTGGAGTTGAATCAGTTTGTAATGACGTCAGCGCCAGCCGTAACTCTCGCTGTACGAGCGTGCGTAAAGACGTCACCAACTAGCGGAGACACGAGTGTCCAYTGAACTTGACACTGGATGTTGGATCCAAGCAGGAAACTCTTTATTTCTGACATATTTATGGGGCTGTGCAATAATTTTATGACGTAGGCCTATTAAACAAATATAAATAAAGGACGCTGTGTCCGAATATATGGTCTGGGGAAGAAAAAAACCAGAGAGCGCTAAGATTAAAGGAAAGCTTTCCAGGAATGTCATAGCAGCTTTTTGTTCGGTTTTAATAGAAGGGAWGGTTCATGAACACCTGTAGTGGAAAAAGTGAAACAGCTAGGTGTGTCGTGGTTTTTGCGCTCTGAGTTCTGACCGTGCGTAAAAACTCACCAGTCCGGAGCACAAGCTGATGACCGCGGCGTGTTGTTCCTGTGCGTTTACATGTCCTCTGTAAAAGCAATGCCGTARCTCAGTGTCCTCCTCCTCCTCTTCCTCCTCCTCCTCCCCAGTCTCCTTCTCCTCTCCCTCAGCATCTGTCCTGTTCGCTCCTTGGGGCGCTCCAAGTACCGTCACAGTGTACAGAGGCGCAATAAATCCCGACTCCAGCGTGAGGTTGAGGTGATAGTGTTTCCCGAAGGCAGATATCCTGTAGTGGATATTATCCGAGTCCCAGTGATCTGTCCAAACTTCGTCCAAACTTCTTCTCTTCCTCCTGAAGTGCGCGCCGGTTGGGAACTTGTCACCGGCTTCATTCACCCGCTGCGGCGTCACAATCTCATAAGCGCCAAACTCCTCTTTCACTGTGGAGAGAATGAACGGATTAGTTCAAGACAAAGACGCGTCAGAGGTTCGGACATCAGTCCAGGAATCTGTGACTTTCCGGCCGCTGCAGGAGGGGAACGAGTCCGGGAACTTCACAGAGTCATGTGCTTCATTCATTCTCTGCCTCCGCGCGCAGAAAACCCTCCCAGAAGTGAATTCTTGATACTTTACCTGCGCGTGAACTCCAAAGCAATCTCCCCGTGGATGCGACTACATTCAAGAAATCCGGGAACAGTAGGAAGCCCAAGCCCCAGAAGAGCACATGCATGATTGTCCACGTTCAGACAGAGAGAGAGAGAGAGAGAGAGAGAGAGAGAGAGAGAGAGAGAGAGAGAGAGAGAGAGAG